CCCTGTTGTTCAAGGACGGATGGGGAGAATTTGTCAAAGATCATTCTTTGGAAAGGAATGATGAATTGCTATTTGAATACAATACTGAGGAATCCTGTTTTGATGTTAAAATATTTGTATCATCAAGTGAGTGGTGTGAGAAAGAAGCTTCGTATCTGATCAAGCTATGTGAGCACTGTCAAACAAATGGAAAAATGAAGGAAAAGCAACCTGTTGAGAACGGTACCCATGTCACTCCAGATACTGAATGCAATTTACCAGCATCAGATAATGCTACTAGTGATGACACTGAGCCCTTTAATATAGATGATGAAGAAGAAGCTGTAACCACTACTGCTTTTAATGAGCATGGTGTGGAGCAAGCTGAAAACAACGAGCAGAGTCATCCTCATTCTACGAATCTAGGTAAGGGAATAAAAACATACTCAATTCAGTACTGCCTGAATTAATGATGAATAAATTGGTAAGGGATACGAGTTGTTTATATATACAGAACTGATCTATTTTCTTAAACTCTGTTATATATAAATCATTCAGAAGCAGGGCAAATAACATGGGGAAGATCCAGAAGGACGCGTTTTGTCTCACATAGAAGGCTAGTAGCTGAAGAGGAGGGCAACCCTGCACTGCGGCGAGCATATGCAGCCAAATCTCCTTGCGGTCTGGTGGTATCAATGCCAACCCGGATGGTGCAAAATCATCACCGAGTGGTTAATGTCTAGTTTTCGCAATTTATCTTCTTTGAATTTGCCTTTGTTAGTGGGAAGATTCATCACAATTTTTCTGGGTTTGCGCATTGCAGCCGATTCCTCGTCAGTGGTTTGTTACCTGTATCTCAAAAAGGATCAGCCATAAAGTAATTCTCCGAGTGAAAAACGAAGAGAGAACGTGGGTCGTTCCAGTCTATTTTTGTGAAAGCGAAACGGGTAGGACCCGCCCGGTGGAACTAATGCGTTCTGGTTGGAAACCTTTTGCAGCTGACAACCGCATAAAAGAATTTGATGCCTGCCTGTTCGAGCCTGCTGGTAGAAATCATCTGGGTATTCCAATTATTGATGTTGTAATTGAGAGGGAGGATCCAACAATGCCAATTCTCCCTCCTAGTACTGGTATTACTTTCTATATATGTCACTCGCAAGTTTTTAGTTAACTCTGTCGAAAAGAACTTTAATTTGTTTATATTTATCTTCTTGCTTCTATTAATAAACTACAGATTCAGACGCTGGAAAATCAAGAGAGGAAAACCGCCAAAGAGAAATTTGGTTAAAAGCAGTTGATGCAGAGAACAATATTGCCTTGCAGCAAGCACGAGCAGAAGAAATCCCAGGCATCAGTAAAGTTGTGGCTATTTATATGAGTCATGTTAGTCGATCTTTCCGGGTGGTAAATTTCTAATTTCTTTTATATTAAATACTCGGTAGAATCGGATTGTTATGTGCGTTTGTGCATGGTTTTGTGGTTTGTGGATGCATTCGTTGAGTTGAGTTGTGATAAATTGTCTGAATGTTGTTTTTGGGTTGTGTTTTCCTCACCATGACCAATTGACCATGCAGCGTATGAGCCTGGAATGGATTTCTAAGCATCTATCAGAACAATCCATGGGGGCCAGGAAAGTGCTTTTGAGCATGGACATGCAAATGCAGCAAGTTCTGTTGCATTTCAATGAAACATATAAATACGCAGAGCTTACTGCTGGCTGGAAGGAGTTTGCTTGTTACCACTCCCTCAACGTGTCTGATGTGTGTCTTTTTAACCCGGCCGGTACTCGAAATAACGATGGAATTTCGATTATTAATGTTAGGATATTTCGCAACGGACCGGAGCGGCAGAATCGTTAGGGTATCAATGCAGTGATGGCCAATCTCTTCGAAGTGCGCTTGTTTGTTTGTAACTAATTTAGCTAATGGTCTTTTGTGAAGGGTTGTTCTAATATTATCAAGTTAAAATTGTGCATGGAATAGGGAGCCATTATTGCTGTTTTGTAAACCTTGATCAGTATCCATGAACATCAATGAAATTACAGTTCCAAGTTGCTCTTTAGTTTATTTCCTTTTTCGTTCCGTTTCCTGACGATTTATTTTTTTACATCTCTCTCCCATCTTCATAAATCTATTTCACTTAAGAAAATTACTCTGGGTAACTAGCGTCTGCCTCATGAAGATCTGTTTCTACTGTTGTGGAATACGGTGACACTGTCTGGGGCTGCGATTGTGGTATGTATATTTTATTATTATTATTGTAAGTGTATGGTGTTATGTTTGTGTAATAAATAGAGATAATAACCTCATATACTTGTCATAATATTTCCACGAAAATTGACTCTATTTCTGAGTTCCAAATTCAAAAAGGCATGGCCATGGTACTTTGGGACGTGCATAACCTACGGCGGCTTCTTACGTTTTACATTAGAAAATAATTGTATATTTTTTAATTTAATAAAATTATTATTATTTATTAATTTAGTTATTAAATTTTAT